TGGTGAGCATGGACTTAGATCTCCAGGTTGTCTGACACCCAATACTGCACGTAAGATAGGTTCACTTAGTGATGCTGTTGGATTTTCTACACCTGCTTCAGGTTTCAGGGATATGCATGGTCGATCAACACCGAGCACTTTGGCAGATTATGCTGATGACAACCAATATGGCAGCTACATGCAATCTGGGCCTCTGAATGATAACCAGTCCAGCAACTCAGAGCGGTTAACTCTAGACTCTCTTGTTGTTCAATATTTGAAGCACCAGCATCGCCAGTGCCCAGCTCCTATCACCACTCTTCCACCACTCTCTCTTCTACACCCTCATGTTTGTCCTGAACCAAAAAGGAGCCTGGATGCCCCATCAAATGTAACTGCTAGACTTGGTACACGTGAGTTCAGAAGTATATATGGCGGGGTTCATGGAAATCGTAGGGATCGACAATTTGTATACAGCAGATTCAGGCCATGGAGAACTTGCAGGGATGATGCTGGTGCCCTGTTGACGTGCATTACTTTTCTTGGTGATTCCTCTCACATTGCAGTTGGCAGTCATGCTGGGGAGCTTAAGATTTTCGACTCCAATAGCAACAATGTGCTAGAGAGCTGCACAAGCCACCAGTCTCCTTTAACACTTGTTCAGTCATATGTTTGTGGTGAAACCCAACTGGTGCTCTCTTCAAGTTCCCAGGATGTGCGTTTATGGGATGCCTCTTCAATCTCAGGTGGGCCAATTCATTCACTCGACGGCTGCAAGGCTGCTACTTTTAGCAACTCTGGTAATGTTTTTGCAGCCCTAACAACAGAGCAGGCCCGGAGAGAGATTATGCTTTATGATGTCCAGACCTGTCATGTGGAATCAACCCTTTCAGATACAGTTTCAAGTTCTACAGGTCGGGGACATGTTTATTCCCTCGTACACTTTAGTCCTTCAGATACTATGCTGCTTTGGAATGGGGTCTTATGGGATAGGCGGCAATCTGGTCCTGTCCATCGTTTTGACCAGTTTACAGATTATGGTGGTGGTGGCTTTCATCCTGCTGGGAATGAGGTATGCAAAATGTTGGTGTTTTTGCTAGTTAGACTGCATTGATTTTTGGTGTTTGAAGTCATTTTAATCCCTTCCTTACAAAGATTTACCTCAGGAAAAAATCTTTCTCCATGAACAGAAGAATATAGGAGCATAATAGATTTGAGGATCTTTCATGGATGCAGATAATTGGTTTGTGTGTGATTAAATGCTAAATACATTACTTTTGTTACATATGGATCACTCTCTCAGATTTCTGGAAGGTTGTAGTTTTCTCTTTCCAAATTTTTTGTTGTTAATAGTTATCTCTTCTAAACAGGTGATTATAAACTCTGAGGTCTGGGATCTCCGAAAATTCAGGCTCTTTCGAAGTGTACCTTCACTAGACCAAACAGTAATAACATTTAATGCTCGTGGGGATGTTATTTATGCAATCCTGAGGAGAAATCTTGATGATGTAATGTCAGCAGTTCATACCCGTCGTGTGAAGCATCCCTTATTTGCTGCTTTCCGCACAGTAGATTCCATCAATTATTCTGAAATTGCGACCACACCAGTAGACCGTTGTGTCCTTGATTTTGCAACAGAGGCAACTGATTCATTTGCTGGGCTGATTACAATGGATGACCAAGAAGAGATGTTTTCATCAGCCAGAGTCTATGAGATTGGTCGAAGAAGGCCAACTGATGATGACTCCGATCCTGATGATGCAGAGAGTGAGGAAGATGAGGATGATGATGATGAAGATGATGGTGATGTGGATCCCATACTTGGTCCAGGCCTGGATGGGGATGGTGATAGTGACGCCGATGATATGAGCAATGACGATGACGATGATGATAGTGTGAGTGACCTTGATGACGATGATGATGATGGGGACTTCATGATGGATGATGTAGACTATGGTGGAGGAGCTGGGATCTTGGAGATTGTGACGGATGGAGATGAGGATGATGATGATAGTCAGTTGCTTGAATCGTACAGCAGCGGCGACGATGACGATTTTGTAGGCAATGGTTTCTTTTGAATGTTTCAACATTGTCAAAATCTTGAAATTGATATTTAAAGTAGTGTAGATCATGTAATTAATGAACAATAGCTGGGTTCATTTTTTTGGCTCAACGTGAGATAAAAGAAGGCTGCATTTAAGTTCATTTTAGATTGCCATACTTCTTTTGCTGCTGCGCACCATAAAGAAATCAAGACCGCAGGTGCAATATTTGTAGACGATGAAGATGGGTAGAGGTAAGATATGATTCATGAACCGCTAATGGCGCCCCCAAAAAGCCACTATTATCTGAAACTAAAATGCACAAGACAAGGTAACATTGAACACGTCTCTTCCTGTTTTAACATTCACTTCGCGGTATGCTTTCTCGTCTTGTGTTGTGTTGTTCTTTAAAATAACATTTTATTATTATTTTTTAAAAATTACTCCTGAGAATATCAAAACTATTTAGAAGTAGTGTTTGCAATGCAATTCCAAAATGAAAATAACGTAGCTCTGATGCCAAAAAAGGGCAAGGGAGTGACGGTGGCAATAATGCAATCTATCAAATTCAAGACATCCCTTGTTGTCCTGTCCTATATAAAATATAAATGAGACGGAGCGGACCGAGACCCCCATTCGCTCTCAAACTTCGCAGCCTCCCTCAACTCTCCCTCCCTCCCTCGAGCTTACCTGACCTGCAGGGCTAGGTGGCCAATACAACAAGAAGAGGATGAAGATGGCCAAAGCCCTGAATTTATCAGCATCACCCTCAACATCCACTCTT